AAAAGGGGACTAAGTAATACCTTGCAGTTTTGGTGATAAGTAGAATCTAACATAGTTGGATATTCAGTAAAGTTACCTTCTATAAAACTATAAGAGCAGCTTTTAGCTGTTTTTTTTTTAAGATACTTATATTAGTGTTAAGGAGCTTAAAGGATGTGTTTAAATTGTATTTACATTTTGAGGGATTGATGTTTGCTTGATGGGCTAATTGTGGATTTTAACAAAGTTGTGTCTTTGCTGATTAATTTTTTTCTTTCAGATACCTCGCATATTGGCACTTTCGTATTCTTTCTCGTTCATTAATATTCAGAATTGTCTTTAGGTTTAGGAATGTATGAAACACCCCTCTTCCTAGCTCATGAAGAAGAATCCGGTGGCCGAAGTGTTCCCACTACTCCTCTGCAAGTAGCAGCTCCAGGTAGGTATCATATTACTAGATTGTGTGCTTTATTGGTAAAATGGAAACTTATGAGGCATCTTTGGGCTGAAAATTAGGTAAACCACAAAGTTAAAGTGTTCGTTGCTTTTCTGGTCTTCTTTTGAAGTGAACGTATTTACTGAGAGTAGTACCACCTCTGATGCTTCAGAGCATGCCTCTCAGTCTGTTCCAATGGTGACAACATCGACTGGCACTTTATCCACAACCAATGAAACAGCAGCAGGTGATGATGGAGATGAAGTATTTGTGGAGGCAGAATCTGAAGGGTAAATGTTTACTTTGTAATATTTGCTTGCCTTAGACTTGCCAGACTTATGCATTTGTTTTCCTTTAGCCAGGAAACAATCTGTTGAGCTGTATTTTCAGTTGCATCTTATTACAAAAGTAAACCAAGCCATCTATTTTGAAAGATTAATTTTTGCATATAATAATATTTTGGGACTTGGAGGTTGTTATTACAGAAGACAAATGTTAACTCCCTGAACATTGCATAATATGTTTATTCTAGAACAAAATATTTCTTTAAAATCACTGGTACCCTTCCATTAATGTAGCTGCTTGAACTTTTCCCCAAAAAAGAAGTCTTTTTGTGAAAGTTAGGAATATTAGGAAATGATTCAACTTTCCATTTAGTAGTGGGCTTTCAAATGAACCTCACTTGGAGATTGGGAATTGAACCCTGACCTCTTGGTTCATAGGTCGATGCTCAACCCCTGAGCCACACCAGCCAGTCAGAAACCTAATTTTTATAAATAAAAAGTTGGGCTACTTCATGGGTAGAAGCAGAGCTAGAAGTAGAACCCAGATTTGCTATGTAGAGCTCAAAGATTTTGTTTTAATATATTTTATTGATTTTTTTACAGAGAGGAAGGGAGAAAGATAGAGAGTTAGAAACATCGATGAGCTGCCTCCTGCACACCCCCTACTGGGGATATGCCCTTAACCCAGGTACATGCCCTTGACCAGAATCGAACCTGAGACCTTTCAGTCTGCAGGCCGACACTCTATTTACTGAGCCAAACTGGTTTCGGCAAAGATTTTGTTTTATTTAGCAATATTTTCTTGGCATAATCATTGGCCAGTTCTATATAAGGAAACAAGCAGGTCTACTTACTATGCTCTATCAGGGCTACTTAATTTGGGGGAGGTTATAGACCTTACTGAGAACACTAACTGCCGTTAATTCCATGCCATGTATGCAGGTCATTTCATATAAGTCATTTCTAACCCATACAATACCTTTGCAAAGTGTCATCATTTTACAAGTGAGAAAGCTCAGAGTCAGAGCATGTATGTCTGGTGACTGACTCAGCCCCATGTGCTTTAGCTTCACACCTGACCAGCACTGTTCAGTGTAGGCACACAGTCATGAGAGAGAACTTCCAGGTACATTGTTAACTAATAACTGTACTAAGATTGAAGTTGTTTTGTACTTCTATCTCCTCACTTGCTTTTGGATGTGCTTTCTGGAATGGGAGAGAGAAATGGACTTACAGCCATTGAGCCAGGGATTTCTACCAATAGCCTGTCTCATCTGCGCTAGAGCCCCTTTCGCGTTAGTGATCTGTTAATAGTTGTGACTTGTGAATTATTTTACTACTATACTCTCCTAGAAAGTTGTTTTGAGGTTTATCAAAATCTGGATAGTCTATCCCTGCAAATGTTAAGAATGTAAACATCCCTTGTCAAAAAGAAAATTATAAAAATGAGAAGAAAAAAACTAAATTTGGAATGTGAAAAGAGGCATGAGGAAGAAGCAACTTGTCCCCTGCCCCTTTAAAAATATACATGGCTACCAGTATCAGGGTTGGCAGTTTTGATTTGGAGTAGAACTCTGCATTAAGTGATAAACTATATGGAAAAGAGTTTGGAAACAATAGGATACACTCTAGGATCAGTTTTATATTTTCCTAATCGATTTTTGTTTTCCTTTCTTAGTATTAGTTCAGAAGCAGGCCTAGAAATTGATAGCCAGCAGGAAGAAGAGCCTGTGCAGGCATCTGATGAGTCAGATCTTCCTTCCACCAGCCAGGACCCTCCTTCCAGCTCCTCTGTAGGTAAGTTCCAGCTGTTGACTACATGTAACTTTACACATCACACTTGTTTGCAAAAGACACTTTTATTGCTAACAATTTTATCATTTTTCCCCCTGAATTGTAAAAAGCTTTATTTAAGAGGGAAATTTTATTTTCTTACAGGGAACTTGGTTTATATTAAAGAAAATTGGTTGTATTAGTGGTGCTAAAGGGGCTGTGGGGGGGATGGTTACTAAGGAGTAGTACTTTAGGCCTCTCTCTTGCCTAAACCAGAGCAGCTCCATTTTTGTTTGTTCTACATATTGGAGTTCTACAGCGGTCTGATACACAGTAAGTGTTCAACAACTCTCTCAGACAATATGCAAAGTCCTTTATATATATTGATTCATTTAATTCTCACATCAGTCCAATGTGGTAAGCATTCATCCCCAATTTATAGTTATGGAAACTTAAATAACTTCTCCAAAGTCACGTAACTAGTAAAGAATAGGCAAGCCCTGAGCAAGCTCACAAGTTTGCCTCCAGAGACGCCAATCTTAAACAATATACTATCCCAACATGCCTATCCATTTTTAGGTAGGGAATTACTTTGATTAAAAAAATATAGTCCTCAGTCATCCACTCCAATTATTTTCACTTTGAATTGTTATAGCAGTCATTCTCCAACTGCCAGGTTTTATGGAAGACATGCTCAGTTACCACGTTCTCAGTCATGGAACACTGCCATCTCAGGGTCTCTTCTCCCTCAGCTGCTTCTCTGGCACATCAGCCTAGAGCCAACATCCTTAGTTTCCAATCTCACATCCACCTTTTAGCAGCTGGTAACTTAAATCACTGCACATTTCATTGTGAAATATGGACATTCATAAGTAATCTTGCAGCTGAGATTAGAAATGTCATTATTAATAATACAATTAGTGAACTTTGGTGCCCCCAGTTATACTCCAACATCTCATGAAAATTGTTATTTCTCAGCAGAATTGGAACTAGTTATATCTTACTAGAGCTTGCATGGAAGTATATGGTTCTTGTTCCCTTTTCAGTATAATATAAAATTAGGATATCTTTAAATTTATTTGAAAATATAAAACACTAAACTTTCCCACCTGAACAGTTATTCATTTGGTTAACAAATATCTGAGTGTCTACCACGTGTTGTCAGGCAGTTTCACAGAAAGCACTATTAAGTGACATTTAAGTAAACACCTAAAAGAGGTTCGGGAATGAAGCTGTGCAGTCATTTGGGGGAAGAGCATTCTAGGGCGAGAGAAACGGCAAGTGCAAAGTCCATGAGGCAGGAGTGTGATGTGTTCAAGCTCAGCCAGGAGGCCAGTGTGGATAGACGACAGTACGGACGGAGAGATGAGCGGGTGCCAGGATACATCTAGTAGGTCATTGTAATTGCATTGACTTTCATGGATAAAGGGAGTTTTGAGAGGGCTTCAAACGGTGACATGATCTGACGTAAAGACTTGACAGTGTCAGTTTGGCTGCTGTGTAGAGAAGAGACTGAGAAAAGTAATGAACAGAAACAAGGAGAAAATTTGGAGGACATTCCAGGTAAAGATGATGTTTTAGACAGGATTATAGAGTTAAGGTTGTGGGAAGAGGTCATATTGGGATATAAATAAAGGAATTTTCTTTTTGCCCTTTTAAAAAAACCTTTCAAATATTGCAAACAGTGGACTCCGGCATTCATTTAGTTTTTCTCCATCTTAATGTTTTTCTTCTTAGATACTAGCAGTAGTCAGCCTAAGCCTTTCAGACGAGTAAGACTCCAGACAACATTGAGACAAGGTGTCCGTGGTCGTCAGTTTAACAGACAGAGAGGTAAATTTCTAACATCCTGACTACATGATAGGATGTGGGGTGATGATAAATGGAAGAATTTTTCTCATGCTTATTTAAGCCGCCAGCTAGTATCTCAGTTTTTTAAATGTTCCAAGGATTAACTATGCCTTGAGTATGATGTTCAGTAATATATATAAAATATAAACATTTTGTAGACAGATATGTATACCATAGGTGTGTAATGAATATGTGCTTCTATTTCTTCCTTGAATTCAAAGTAAGATTTAGAAAAGTGCTATGTGGTTATTTGGTATATCTTCGCCTATTATACTAGCTAAACAGTCACAGAGCTTTATTCTATTGTACAAAAAGTGTAATATTTTAATATCTCCATGTTTTCTAATGTAAGATTGCATTTGTCATAAAAATATTAATCTCATTGTAATGATTATCATTGAAGATGTGAAATGTTTAATTACTAGTTTTTGAAAACACTTTATAATGAACCAGAGTAAGTGAATACTCTAGTTTGGGGCTAGCTTCTTAAAAGATTCATTCAGTTTGATTTTTTTCTCTCTCTCTTATAGGTGTGAGCCATGCAATGGGAGGGAGAGGAGGAATAAATAGAGGAAATATTAATTAAATGTTCTATAAATTGTAATAACTGTGAATAAGATTGTCCAGTCTGTTTTAGTGTTATGATTGTCGAATTTAAAGACAGTTTTGTATTTAAATTGGTATGCTTATCTCAACATTCTTTATTAATAAAAGATATTTCAGTGTCAGATTTTATCATTGTTTTACTTGTCTGTTCTTTTGCCCACCGGTCTAAGGACAGTTGTACCAGACATTGGATAAGGTCTTCCCAGAAGGAGTAGTAACGGCTCTTGCTGTTCTGCTGGGCACATTCAAGTTATAGGCTTGATCTAAATAGAAGAGAGGGATCATTTTATTAAACATTTCTGAGAGTACTGCCTTGACAAATTGACCTTTTAATCAGGTTTAACTCTCCTTCAAAGTAAAAATCAAAAACCACTTGGGTTTTACTCTTTTTATATCTGATGTCATCTGTATAGGCAGAATAACACATTTCTGGATTTTTCAAAGAAAAGTGTCTCAGGTAATATAATTTAATAAGATTTGTTTCTCAGGAACTTACTTCTGATCTTATGGACTGTAATGATGCAAATCAGTATAACTTATGGTAAATGGGGCCTCCACTAAATGCCAAATACTGTTTTCAGGAGCAATTTTACGTAATTTTTTATCATAATAGACTCAATCTCATGAAGGATAGGGTAGCATTCAGTTGCAGTCCTTTCAATTTAATGTGAAAGAAAAGCAAAAATTTAAACTTTCTCTTCAGGGCAATTACAGTTTAATGTCTCACCTTCAGCTTCCATTGAACACTTGGTGTTTTGATTATGTTTGTATTTCAGAGATTAGATCACACCTTTAAGAAGCTATTGAGATTTTACTTAACTCACCCCTAGAAAAAGCATAGTAATCGTAGCCATCGGGTTTTCTGATGTTGGGCAGGGATATAGCTGAGGTAACCAAACTGGGAAGTCCTCTCCACAGTGTACTTGTTTGGGCTTCATTGTGGAGGAAACCTAGAGATGATATTGGAAAGAGCAGCTGTTAGAGTCAGACATACCACAGTATTAACTCCAATGTGGTCACTCAGTAGCTCTATTATCTTGGATGTTATTTAACCAGTGCCTAGTTTTTGCCCTCTCAGAATTGGTGCAAATAACTACCTTTTATCACTGTTTTCAGGGTTACAGTTTTATATATATTGTTCTTGGTAAGAGATAATTAAAATAAGTACCATTTATCAAGTAACATTTAAACTGCATTCCTTACCCACAAAGCAAAAGTATTGATCTTTGATGTTTTGCACCAATAAGCTTTAATAAGCCTTACATCTACTTCGTGTGTAAGAATTTTTAACACAGTAAAAAACAAAACAAAACACATTACCTTTGTCTTGATAAAGGACTCTGACAGGCCGCGAATATTGAATGCTGATGGTGTGTGTGTGAGATCCAATAGCCCGTTCAAAGCGAAGTCTTCTAACCTGTGTTGTTTCTCCGTACACTGGATAATTCAGAGCAGGTCTTCTTCCAGGGCACTGCCTGTTGGGTTCCTGTTTATAAGTATACTTCTGAACTCTGCCCCCTATTAGAAAAAAATAACAAAAATTAATTTAGTCCCCAAAAAAAGATGGAAAAGAGCTTTCACAAGGTGGAAGAAACAATGTTTTTCATAAAATATGTCTAGACAATAATGGCTATTAGTCAAGGGTATTATGAAAATAATTACTAAATCCTGAAATACTTGAATGATCAAATTCAACAGACTGCATAGCTATGTATTGAACTTTGTGTGAGAATACATCGATGACATTATATCAATAACCAGAAAACAGGTGAAATTGTTATTTGCATGTTGAGAGATCTAAATGTTTCTTAGTGCCCTCAATTTTTTTTTTATCGAAAAATATTTGATCCAGCTATTAAAGACATCTTTTCACAGTAAACCCAGTAGTAAATGAAAATATTCAATAAAACTTTTCTGGCAAATCAACTATTAAAAGTTGTGTGATTGTGTCAATTATGTAGCACATACCTCTCTTGAAAAAATACACAGATTCAGGTCTCTCCTTATATTTAGGTATTGAAAGAGCTGCCAGTATTTTTCCATTTAGTCCTCCAAATCCTTTTACAATTTGTTTGGGATACCCAGGATCTTTTACATCATTGGTGAAACGCCAGTACTGAGAACCCTAATCATTTAAAAGAGGAAGTGATGTTAACAGTTTTTTGGGGGGAAAAGGTTAGGCATTCATTCTTAGATTTTTAAGTATAGGAAGAAAGTTTTAACTCAGGTGTTTGAATAAGTTGACCATTAATGCTACCAAATTGTGTTAACTTTTGATTAAATTTTGATGGTAGTCATTTATTAAAATATGGAACCCCTCTGAGGTGAAATTTAAGCTGACTTATGTTTTCATAAAATAAGAACTATTTGCTGATTTCTCTTACAAAGATATTTTTCTTACCTTAAAGAAGAAAGTTTTTCCGTCACAGTTGCACCTAGTAAAAACAGTATCAATGGGAGAGGGAATACCCCAGACTTCAGTAATTCTACGAGGAGGAGATGGTGGACTGAGTGGATTTAGCATCCAGAAGTAATGACCTAAAATTGAAAGTGATAAATTAGTCTATAAGCTGAATGAATACTAAAACCTATCCCAGAAGAGACCAAAATGAAAACATTTTTAATTATCCTGAAAACACTGAATGTGTTAATGACCAGAAGTTTAGTGAGAACTGTATTAGCACAGAACATAGTGTTTGAACATTTCTGAGAGTAGATCTCTCAAGTTTGAAGTTTGACATATTTTAGTTTTCTAGAAAGAGCCTTCTCACTTTGTGACTTAACAGAAAATCACTTTTCTCTCAATTTCTTTATCTTTCAGAAATAAGGAGTTAAAATTAAAGGACTACTAAAATCTCTTCCTCTACTGAGCAAGTTTATGTATGACTTCCCTTCAGATTTAATCTAAGTAAACAAAGACTGGACTAGTGTCAGTACAGAGAATTAACATACAATTGCTGTTCTGGGATTTCTTCACAAAGAGTAATTAATACTGCTGAATACATCACAATCAAGATGTTATAATATTCGCCTTTTCTGGTGTTTGTGATTAGAACGCTGGCCCTTGTACCAAAGGGTCTCAGGTTCGATTCCAGGACAAGGGCATGTATGGGAGGCAACCAATTGATGTGTTTCACATCCATGTTCTTTCTCCCTACTCTCCCTCCCTTACACTCTCAAAAATCAACGGTGGTGAAAAATGTTATTTTCAAATACAGTAGAACAGGGAAAACAAATCCTGGCATCATTTCATCCGATGTGAAATTAAAATTTGAACTACTTTTTAATTCCTAATGGTAGGAACAATTAGCATCATCTCAAGCTCTTTGTTTTGTTACTCTAATATGTCTAATTTTATTAGTCTAATATTTTGGTAATTACTCTCAGGTTTTCATAAATTTCGTGAGGTAAGGTCATTAGTCAGGTTCCCCTTCAGAAAGCTCAACCCAAACTACTAACTCCTATGGCTTTGGTTCTCACAAATGCCAAGAACAAAATGATGGGCAGAAAAAAGTTTGTGCAGAGCTCACCTCGAAATGCAACTAATGTCCCATTGGCCAGAGTCGTCAGTCCATCTACTGATCTACCATTGCATAAATTGGTTTCATCTGAAACAAATTAATAAGTCAATACAAAACAAAATGAAAAAGGTTAAGTTCTCGAGTTTCATTTCCTCTCTTCATCATTTCCTAAGCTCTTGAAGGATATTACAATCTCTCTTTCTCCCCTCTCTGCTAAAAAAAAAAAGTGATGAATTGGAATAGACAGGTTACCTGATCTTAAAGTAAATTATTTATTGGACGTTTAATCTCAACATTCCATCTTTCGGTTCTTACTGCCCTTTAGATTGGGTTTGTAAAAATAATATTGCAGATTCTTGCTTTGCATTGTACTTTCTTTTAAGGGTGGACTCCCAACTAAATATTTTTGGTATTCTGTACACTGGCTCTGCCTACAGACACACTAACTTCCTAACACTAGGCCATTACTCCTTTCTCCAAATATCAAATAATCTTACTGTGATTACTCCTCCGCTTCTAAAGCTGTAAGACTTCACAAGTTAATAAGTTCAGGATTCTAGACAATGTACATATTAAATGAGGGCATTCCAGTTCTCATAGACTTACATTAACATTAGAAACTAAAAAACCAGTCTCTTTACCTGAAAGCATGGGGTTGACGCCAATGGCTTGATCGGATCCTCTCACTGTGAAATCAGCTCCGGGGATAATTAGAGGAGTTATCACGGGGGGCCTGAGAATCACAGAAGGTTTTTCTCCTTCAGCATCATTTGCATCTTCATCCTTTGGATGTTCTTCAGCCATTTCTGAGTTACTAGCTTGGTCAGAGCTGGTGGTGGTTTGGAGCAAATCTTCCTCTGAAGAAGCAGGGTTCATTGTAGGCACCGTTGATGTGGTTGTCTTTGGGGGAGATGGTGTAGGCTTTGGTTTTGTCACTTTAGGTGTTGTGTTGGGCTTTTTGGTGGTGGTGGGCATTTGGGGTGCTTTGGTTGGCTTTGGGGATTTAGCAGTCGTCACTTTGGATGTAGTTACTGTGTCTTCGGACGTATTTGTAGTCTCTTCAGTTGTAGTTGTCTTTTTTGTTGCAGCCGTCACTGCAGGTGCAGGAGTTGTTTCCTTCGGAGTAACTTTGGCCGATGTGGTGTCCTTGGTTGTGGTAGATGTCACCTGCTTGGTTGTACTTGTTTGGGATTCAGTGGTCTTGTCTTCTTTTGGAGTTGCTGTCTCTTTTGTTGTACTTGTAGAAGTAGCAGTTGTAATTTCAGTTGTAGTGTGTGTGCCTTTTTCTGTTGTCTTATCCTTTGATGTGGTGGTCGTTTCAGATTTGGTCCCTTCAGGATCCTTTGGTGTGGGATCTACAGGAAACTCAGGAGTTGATTCATCAGGGTCTCAGGAGGAGTGGGAGGCTCCATGGTGGTAGCTGGAGTAGAGGCCTCTGAGGTGGTTGGAGGTGTCTCAGGAGAAGTTGGAGCTGGCTTCTTGGGGGTAGTGGGCTCGGGCTTCTTGGGGGTGGTGGGCTCGGGCTTCTTGGGAGTG